GAAGCGCATGGCAGCCGTAAAAAAGTTGTGGGTACTACAGCTCAAGCCTACCATCAGGCAATATGCCACCGAGCGTCGCGCCCGCAGTCCTCAAAAAGATGGCAGAGCTGAAGAGGAGGCTGTGAAGGGTTGGGGCGAATAAGTGTAAGTATGATTTGCTTGCCCATCAATTGAATTTTTCTCCGGAGATATTGCCAGTCGCAAGGCTTCTTGTTGTTATTCTCATGATGATCCTGAATCACGAGTGGTTGCGGGTGAGGCTGTGGAACTAGCCCAGCTGCCAATCTCAAACCTCTTCTGAAAGTGTGCTTTCTGTCACAGGGTGGAAGTTTGGCATTCTCGTCCATCCCACCAAAGGTTGCCAGTCCAAGCCTGACACTCCAGGTTCCACTCACGTTTGTGAGTTGGGAATCTACAGAAGACATCCAGTATCCATGCACCTCATGCCCTTGATGGAGGGCATCTTGACGAACCATGAGATCTACTGGAGCAACAATCACCAGAACAGTTGATGATCAGAAGAGCAACAAAGACAATGAAAGGGAGAGCCATGCAGCTGGGAACCCAAATAGCAATCATAGTTTGACAAACTACAGTAATCAGAACAAGAGTACAGATTCTCAGTTGGATCGTGAGGAGGTGCCAGCAAAATCTGCAGAGCCTGCACAATCGGATGCCCTGGCGGAAGCTGAGACGGAGGCATTGGGCTGAAGATGCAGATTCTTTCTGTAGGATTCAAGAGGTTATGGCCGGAGCGGCTTCTCTGAGTTTGGAGGGTGTTGCTGATGAGCTGAATTCTTGAAGGTTTGCAAAGTTTCGTCTTCGGGTTGCATGAGTCTTGCAGCACACAGCTTGACAGTTAGCCCGACCGCCACTTTGCACAGGACGACAGCTTTGACGAAGCATCAGATCAGGCGCGGTCATAGTTGCGCGTCCTGGGTTCCAGATCTATAAAGCCTTTGGCATTAGAGTCTGTGCTGAGATTTTTGCTAAGGAGGGGGCCAGAAAGTGTTGCTGGGCTCGCTCTGAAACTTGCTGGTGGTTTGTAGGGAGTAGGGGATTAAATCCCTACATATTCCCCGAAGAATATGTTCCCTTATGCCTGACTCACCCCATTAAGGGAGGGTCATGGCAAAGTTTTTTGCAATGGTTTCAGATGCTTGTGTGGGTTCCTGCTCAAGAGCTTTCAGGAAGCCCCTGGCCTGTTCTTAAGGGTCGCAAAGCAGGCTCTTTTGCGGGTAGCTTCCTGTACATGGCCACTGACCTGCCATGGCTTCTTGCTGCTTGCTGGGAGTTGCTCCGCGAGATGGCTTCTGGAGCTTCAATTGGGTTTGTCCCACCAGAGGCTACCATGCTGCTAGCATCAAGCGTATGGCCGCTATTGGTAGATTCGAGGTGAGTCTTCAGTTCGCATGTCTTGGGCTGATTGCGACAGCTGCACGTGGACGGGTGAGGTGCAAGGCTGGCAAAGCTGCAGATGCCAGGTCCATGGCCATGACGGAGGGTGTGCGTGTAGCGCCACGGTTTTCGAACAGAACGCCGGCGGCGAAGGAGGCGGCTCTTGTGCGCCTGCAGGACTTTGCAGCGGCCAAGGGCGGGAGGTGACTGTCCGACAAGTATGTTAACAGGAGGGTGAAGCTACGCTGGCAGTGCGAGCATGGCCGCACCTGGCATGCCGCTCCTCATAACGTGCTTCACAACAACAGCTGGTGCCCAGTCTGTGCAGTAAATAGGCAGAGCATTTGTTTGTCTCGTTTGCAGGCTCACGCGGCAGCCCGAGGCGGCAAGTGCCTGTCCAGCGAGTGCAGGAATGTTCGCGCCAGGGTCCGCTGGCCGTGCAGGGAGGGACACGTCGGGGAGGCCGCTGCGAAAGAAGCTCTTTACCGAGATCGATGGTGCCCGACGTGTGCCGGAAGAACTCGGAGGCGGATGAGGCGCAGCCTGGAAGATCTGCAGAGGCATGCGGCATCGCATCGGGGCCGATGCCTAGCAACAGAATACACAGGTATGAGGTCAAGGGTGCGCTGGCGGTGCGAACATGGCCACACATGGCGTGCGGCTCCGGATAGTATCCTGAACAGGAACAGTTGGTGCCCCGTCTGTGCCGGGCAGGCCCCAGTGGGCTTGACACGGCTGCAGGAGCATGCCGCCAAGCTGGGCGCGCAATGCTTGGCCACTGAGTATGTGAACAACAGCTCCAAGGTGGAGTGGAGGTGCAAGTTTGGTCACATATGGTGGAGCACCCCAGACATGGTTCTGAATCAGGGTACCTGGTGCCCCGACTGCAGCAAGAAGCGGAAGGTCGGCCTGCCGCGTCTCCGGGCCCATGCCACCTCTTTGGGCGGGAAGTGTCTGGCCAAGTCGTACAAGAACTGTCACACCAAGATTCTTTGGGAGTGCTGCGAGGGGCACCGATGGAAGGCCACTGCTGACAACGTGCTGAATCAGAACTCCTGGTGCCCTACGTGTGCTGCGAGCACTTGGCGGACGGAGGCGGAGATCCGCGGCATCCTCGAAACCATCTTCCATCCGGGTGAGTTTGCTTCGTGTTATCCCAGCTTCCTCGATGGCTTGCAACTAGATGGATACTGCAAGCAGCTGTCCCTGGCTTTCGAGTACCAGGGGGAACAGCACTACGATGCTGAGAACTACTTCCACTTGGGTGAGTTCTCGAGCTTCCTGGCCCAACAGGAGAGGGATGCCAGGAAGGCGAAGCTTTGCAAAGCTGAAGGGGTGCGGCTGGTGCTGGTGCCTTACTTCGCCAACGACAAGCGGACCTTCGTGGTGACGGCCCTGCTGCAGTGGTTCTCCATTTGCGAAATCAGCCCGAGATTGCTGGCCGCTTAGCAGCTCTCAGAGGCCTGCGAAGCAATGGATTTGGAAAGAGCTTTGCATGGATCTCAATCTTGAGGAGCCAGGCCATAATCTTTTCTCTTGGAGCAGAACTCAAATAAGGTTTTTTGCACATTTCCCGCATGCTAGCGCGGGCCCCGTATCTTAATCTTCCAATCAAGCGTCAGCTCTCGCATGCGGTTATCAGGATCGGCGACTCTGCAACTTCAGAAGTACTCGTCTATGTTTTTGAAGAAGTTTGGGATGAACCCCCCAACAAAGCCTCTGCTTACATTCATCCATGGAGATCTCAATGCAACCCGGGCCGGCTCCAGGCCTTCCCCGCGCTTAGGCTTAGGGCTTAGGGTCTAGGGCCTAAACCCTAAAGTTTAGGGTTTAGGCTTAGTGGCTTCTTCTGGCTTTTGAGGTTCCCCTCTTCTAGACTTGTTGAAGTCGGGTATCGCATTGAGCCTCAAGCTGACCCTTCGGAAGGTATTTGTGTGTAGCTCCTACCATAAGGATCCCCACATACAGAGGCCCCTTGCAAACTATAGGGTGAACTTGCAGCGACACCCAGGAAGGATACATCGTGTTGAGAACCTGGCATGCGGATGTGGTTTTGGCCTTTATTTTGGAGCTGTTTGTGAGGATTGTTGAATCTCGGTACGGTTCCATATCAGGTTCATAGTTTAAATTCTAGGGCATAGTTCAAGCTTCCCAAGCGCCCATTTTCATTTCTCGCCATTGTTGTTGTTCTGACTATTGTCGGTTATGACTAGTTTATGATTAGTATTGTCAATTTGTATTATGCTGGTTACTGTCACACAAGTTATACCTCCATTTACAGTACCATTATTGCAAAAATATTGTTGTAGTCCCGAATCTATGTGTGGAAGAGCTCGGCTCTGGTCAGGCCCACGGTCCCAAGCTGGTTAACTTAACGAGGGGCATGTAGACCAACTAGCGATGTCCTAGGCCAATGCGCGGTGCTTGGCAAAAGCAGTCAGCCAGCATGAGGATTCAAGGGTGCAGACTTGATATCCTTGCAAGCTGATTTAAAGGGCTATAATTAGGCCCTTCTACTGTAGGCAAATCCATTCCAAAAAGGATGATGTTGGTTATGGCGCTTTTTCCTTCAGTCGGGCCTCTGGCAGGATTGCAGGTTTGCCGCATCTGGATTCAGAAGCGATGATGTCTGTAGGTGGCACAGCAGTGGTGTTAAGTTGCCAGATCAAAGTTGCCACAGAATGACTTTCAGGTGCAGCTGAGGGAACGCAAGCGTCTTAAACGTCCTCATCCAGTGCACTGCATGTAAAGAAATCACCGGATGTGGTTTTCTCCCCCCAGAATTCCCGTGAAAATAAGATGATTTAGGTTGGGATGAATTTCCTATGCATCATGGCTGGCAGGCTCTCAGAGATTCCAGAATCCGTAGACCTTCGCTGCCATGAGGGTACACTGGCGCTTGCCCAAAGCCGATGTTCGGGTCGGGTTTCCTGTCCTGGGTCCTTGTGCGAACGCCCCTGGAAGCGTGCGCTCTCTTGTGGCCCTGGAGTTGTCGAGGGGCAGCAAGATGCTGTATGCGGGATTCCTGGCAGGGACTGCTTTTGGGAGGCACGTGAAGGTCAAAGTTTGTGGAAAGGGTGCTTCTAAAGCTGCCAGATTGGACACGGGGGCGGAGGATGGCAAGGGTGTTTTGCTGTCGAAGAGAACGCCAGAAGCGAAGGAGGCGGCTCTTGTGCGCCTGCAGGACATTGCAGCGGCCAAGGGAGGGAGGTGCCTGTCCGACAAGTATGTTAACATGAAGGTGAAGCTCCGCTGGCAGTGCGAGCATGGCCACACCTGGCATGCCACTCCTGACAGTGTGCTTCACAACAAGAGCTGGTGCCCGGTCTGCGCGGTCAACAGGAGAAGCATCTCTTCATCTCGTTTGCAGGCTCACGCGGCAGCCCGAGGCGGCAAGTGCCTGTCCAAAGAGTGCAGGAACTCTCGTGCCAGGGTCCGCTGGCAGTGCAAGGAGGGACACGTCTGGGAGGCCGCTGCACGAGAAGCTCTTTACCAAGATCGGTGGTGCCCGACGTGTGCCAGAAGCACTCGGAAGCGGATGAGGCGCAGCCTTGAAGATCTGCAAAGGCATGCGGCATCGCGCAGGGGCCGATGCCTGGCAACAGAATACACAGGTGTGATGTCAAAGGTGCGCTGGCGGTGCGAGCATGGCCACACATGGCGTGCGCGTTCAAATAGCGTGCTGAACCAAAACAACTGGTGCCCCGTCTGTGCCGGGCGGGCCCCGGTGGGCTTGAGACGGCTGCAGCAGCATGCGGCCAAGCTGGGTGGGCAATGCTTGGCCACCGAGTACGTCAACATGCGCTCCAAGGTTGAGTGGAGGTGCAAGTTTGGCCACGTATGGTGGAGCACTGCAGATGTCGTTGTGAATCAGGGTAATTGGTGCCCACACTGCAGGAAGGTTGGCCTGCCTCGTCTGCAGGCCCATGCTGCCTCGCTGGGTGGGAAGTGTCTGGCCAAGTCGTACAAGAACAGCCAGACCAAGATTCTCTGGGAGTGCCGGGAGGGGCACAGATGGAAGGCCAAAGCTACCAACGTGCTGCATCTCAAGACCTGGTGCCCTACATGTGCTGCGAGCACGTGGCGGACTGAGGCGGAGATCCGCGGCATCCTCGAAACCATCTTCCATCCGGGTGAGTTTGCTTCGTGTTATCCCAGCTTCCTCGATGGCTTGCAACTAGATGGATACTGCAAGGAGCTGTCCCTGGCTTTCGAGTACCAGGGGGAACAGCACTATGATGCTGAGAACTACTTCCACTTCAGTGAGTTCTCGAGCTTCCTGGCCCAACAGGAGAGGGATGCCAGGAAGGCGAAGCTTTGCAAAGCTGAAGGGGTGCGGCTGGTGCTGGTGCCTTACTTCGCCAACGACAAGCGGACCTTCGTGGTGACGGCCCTGCTGCAGTGGTTCTCCATTTGCGAAATCAGCCCTGCTTTGCTTGCAGTGCAACGCACTTCCGGTGAGAAAGATTTTGTTGAGATTGCTCAGCATTTCCAGCCAAACTCACCCACCCCAAACGACTCTTGCAGTGAAGGCCTCGGTGGAAGAAGCCCATGAGCTGCTTCGAGAGGCTGGACTCAAAGCGCAGCAGCGTTCGCCATGCGTTCAATGTTGCTTCGGGTTTGGATTTCAGGGGCTTCTGATTGTGTATGTGAGGAGTTTGCACTTGCCAGATGTCTGTGTGCTTGACGGTCAAACGTCGTGTAGTATCTAATGAACACAGAGCCACACAGTTTTCAGAGTCAAGCCTCAATCTTTGTATTGGTATTCCTGATCTGCAAGGGCTGGGCAGAAGATGAGTCCATGCAGCTACTTGGCTACTTTGGATTCCAGGACCGAGGGGAGAGAACCTTAAATGTGGCTCCAGACCCAGGATATTTAAGGAGGATACCAGACCTAGAGCACTTCAAAGCTGGAAGGGTTTGGGGAAGAGCAAGTCAGGGGCATGAGGGGGCGCTAGAGCATGGGCTCCTCATGGTATCCCAAGACGCCCATTTGAGGTCAGCCAATCGCGCGCCCCAAGCCAAATTCCTAGACGATTAAAATCATCCCGTACCCTTCAAAACTCGTAAGCTCTGCGCCGCATTCCCGTTTCTCTGAAACGCTCCCACTGCCCTGTACCCCAAACCGACTTCCCTTGCAAATCTGCATTTGCCTTCAATCCCTGAACCTCATCCCAGACCCACTCCACGCCGAGGCTCGTGGTCCGCCGGGGCGACGGTGATGCTCTCTGCTCACGGAGCCTTCCTCTCTATGTAGGCAGGGACAGAGGAGCTGGGCTGGGGCATGGGGGTTGGCCTGTAGGTTCAGAAAGTAATAGCTCAAGTCTTCACCAAGCTTTCGGTAACGGGAGAGACAAGGAGATTGCTCACTGAAGATGTGTTTTTCACAGAGCACGCATCCCAGCATCATTTGAACTATCCAAGCATTGGCAGTTGGGCTGGGCCTTCTGCAAAGTCTGAACTACCAGAGTGAAGTCCAGCTTGATTTAATGAACTACGGGGAAATGCACGGAAGCCAGTTGGCCTCCCAAGCGAAGACCATAAAAAAACACTTTAAACCCTGAACCCTCAATCCAAAGTCCCAAACGCTAAACCAGATAGAGCCCCCAGCCTTGACAGCCCAAAACCCATGTGTTTTGCGCCCACCTACCTACTTACTTACCTGCCTGGGAGGCTTCAAGCGGCGCTATCGTGGTCCGTACGAGGCTGCGTTTATCCGTTTGAGGGATGTTTCCAAACCATAAGTCAAAGAGAGACCGTCTTAGGGTGAGAGGGGATTTGAAGGGGAACACAAGGATAAAGTCTTCGGTGGGGGGGGGTGTACGTCTGTCATGGCTTCATCATGAACTTTGTAATCGGAGACGAGCATGTAGGCTTCAGGAGTTCAAGTACCTTCTGCCCAATTCCTACACGAGGACCTGGAGGACGAGGATTTCAGGGAAGCCTTCGAAGAGCAGCCGACGCAGGAGATCGACGAGCGCTGCCCCAACCCGAGAGCTCTTTTGTTTCATTTTTGGGGGAGTAGGTGCAGGTGATGTTTTGGCTTGGTGGTGCCCTCAACTGGTTGAACTTCAGTTTTGTGTTTGTACTTTCTGGCGATCGTTGGCTGGGGTGAGGATGGAGAACTTGAGAATTTTGAATTTCCTGGAAGCATGCAGCGGGCGTCCATGGTCCTGCCTTGTACACGTTCGTACAACCTCGCATCTCCGCACACAAAGCCACAGACCTACAGCAAACAGCCATGTACCTGCAAGGAGACCCCAACACGACCTGCAGAACACAACCGTTGCAAGGTCAAGTATTGTCATGACAGTTGCCACCATTGTCTGCTCGCTGCATACTCTTTCCTCGTGTTGTTATCAACCGGTATCGTGAAAACTGAACGTCAAGGCTGGGCCTACCTCGAGCATCGCTTCGAGGCCATCAACTCTGATCTTCAGAATGTTCAAGACAGCAAAATTCTGGGTCAGGTTGTTTTAGGGTTCGACAGGTGTGCTGAGCGCCTGACTGAAGATGTTGTAGCTTCGTTGGTGTTAGGAGCTGCAGTCCCAAGGCAGTTGTCTTGGAAGCCAAAGCGCAGCTGATTGCTGCAGATGACAGCAGAGCTGGAAGTAGTCACAAGAGCCTTGCAATAGTCGTCATCATTCGCAGTAAGTGTATGTCAAAACGTCCACATGACATTAGCAACAACAGGCAAGACTAAGACCCCCGATGCAGCGGCCCTTTGAGCCCTCAACTTTTGATCCTTATCTGTAAAACACCAAAGAAGGCTAACCCGAAACCGCCTAAGCCCTCACCCCTAAACCCAAACCCCCAAGGTGTAAACCCCAATCCTTAGATAAATCCTTAAAACGCAGCTCCTGACCGCTTATGCCCTCTAAACCTCAACCCTGGCCCCTAATCCCGAAATCCTGCCTCGTGCAGGCATTGGCCATAAAGCGCCAAGAGCGGCGCGCGCGGCGCGCGTCACACAGCTGAAGTTGAAAGATTATAATTGTTTGAGGTGAGCTTGAAATTTGGTTTTTGTTTCAGAATACAATTGCCATAGTTGCTAGCATGTAGACTGGTTGGTTTTCTTTTGAATGGCCTGATAATCTGAGTTCGGTAAATGTATTTCTCATTTGAGTTCATGGGGATTGAACGGAGTCTGCCAGGTTCACAGTCTTGATGGGGCTTCATGTGTGGGGCCGCAGGTGGATAGATCCATCAGTGCGTGGAAACTGCACACAAGCATAGGATGTTACAGAGGTGGTTAGAGAATGCGAGCCAGCACGGCAGGAGGAGGCTTAGGTGATATCTCCCTATTACTGCATATTCAATTTGAAGCAAAGGGTTTCTGGTCCAGGATATTCATGCGAGAGGTTCACAGGCATCGGTTGAAGCTTAGGGGCCAAGGCCTTCGACTTTGCAGACTCGGATTGGCATTCCAGGTTCCATGCAGCAGCAAGCACAGTCAACGGTGTCGCCATTTGGGGTTGAGGTTTCAGGAATGTACCGGGCACTTTGTCATGGCTTTTTTTGTGGCTCCTAACGCAGTGTTTGGTAGCCCAAAGGCGGTCACATGTGATCTGCTTTTAAATCCTTCTGCTTCTTGGGCCTCCCAAGCCGCAGACGGACTTGTCCGCTACATTCCCTGGTGCACAATTCTGGACAAAGGCGCGTGACAGCTCTTCGAGCTCAGTTGGACGAGGAGGCCTGCTTTGGGGGCAGTAGGGTTCTATTTGGTAGGCAGGACACATCTCCATACTTGCAAGTTCCCTTGCACAGCAATCGTCATTCACCTGCCATCTGGACATGTGTCCAGCCTGTAGCGCGACTGAATTAATCAAAGGGCCTGGACCACCGAACCCAAAACCTCAAACTCTAAACCCTAAACTCCCACCCCAAAAATCTACGTAAACCCTAAACTCCAAACCCGCATTCTTCAACCTTAAATTCTAACTCAAAACATTAAGCCTTAAACCCCAAACTCAAAACTATAAACTCTAAACCCTAGACTGAACCCTAAACTCAATGCATTCAAATCTAAACCCCAATCTCTAAGCCCTAAACTCTGCACCTTAAATGTTAAACCCTAAATCCCTAAACCCTAAAACCCTGAGACCCTAAAACCCACAAACCCACAAAACCCTAAAACCCCAAAACCCCAAAACCCCAAAACTCCAAAACCCTAAAACCCCAAAACCCCAAAACCCCAAAACTCCAAAACCCTAAAACCCTAAACCCCAAAGCCCTTAATGCCTGAAGCTCCCACTGCAAACGCGGCTTCTGCGAGGCTCGCCTCGCTGCCGACGTTGCCGGAAAGCACGGGCCAAAGAGGGTTCCCTTCAAGGGGTTTTAGGGTTTTAGGGGCCAAAGAGGGTTCCTTTCAAGGGCTCTAGGGGTTGAGGGTTTAGGGTTTGGGGTTTTAGGGTTTGGGGTTTAGGGGTTTTAGGGTTTAGGGGTTTAGTGGTTTGTAGGAATATAGAGTCCTGT